CATTGTCTGTATCAAGAGTTTGAGTTTCTCCCCTTTGGACAGAGATTTAGACTGCTAAAGGCCAGGTCTAACAGGGTAAGAAATTCCTTTATCTCCCACACCATCAAATTCTTAAAGGCTCATGGGCCGGCTGATGAGACTGAATGAGACATCTGTATTAAAAGAAATGTGGGTTTACAGTCATGGGTTGGTGAAAGTGAGGATTTTTTAACTATATATTGGGTTAGATGGTGATGGATGAATATTATCCAGGTTTTATGTTATGCAGTTTCTTTTATGTACATTGTATTTTATGTGACTTTAAGTGGTAGAATTTAGCATATGTTTTATATATAGTATTATATAAACACTCAGTTGCCAGTTTATTAGGTCACCTAGTCTGCTACAACAGTCCTGCATTAAATCCAACTTTCATGAAGGTTATAATGTTCAGTTTCTTGCTGAAGAGAGGTGTTGATTCAACTCTGTCTTATTTTCTTATCCTAGTCATATTTTAAGATGTAGTTTGTGGTGTACGTATGTATATATATATATATATCAGACACATGATGACCAGAGACCTATCCTATCCAATATGAAGAACTGCTATTGGTGTTGACTTAATCAAGTGTATTGGGTAAAGATAAATCCAGTAATTTCAGTAATCAGTTACATTCCTTTAATCACTGTGCACCACTGACACAGCCAGCAATCACACAGTGAAGTTCACAGAATAAAACTTTGGCAAAACGAAACAATGATATCAGATTGTAAAATCAGTCAAGGATGGTTGAGGAAATCAGATGGTTGAGGTACTGGGAGAAAACGTTAGATCGGTCCTTAAGAAGATAGGCTGTGCCAAAATGCTGCTGAATAAATATAAAATTAAACAACTGCATAGGAGCTGCAAGTGTATGACCTTCTTCATACTCTTAAACTTACCGTTGAACTGGGTGTATTGGTGCCATATCCTGAGGAAGGCAAAGAAGCCAAGGACCATCTACGGCCATCAGCCCTTGACGAAAGAAAGAAAAAAAAAAGTTGAAAATGGAAAACATATGTTAGAGTCAAAAACAATAAAAGCTGTTATCTCTATCACTTTCAACAGCCAGAACTCCAATATCAATTTCTATTTTAGTCTCTCCAAACAACACAATCGGCAGTTATACTGAAACAACTCCACCACCTTCGCGTCCTTTCAGTCTATCCAATTACACTTTTTTGCTGCTTTTATTCCTCTCTTCCCTCAGGCCTTCTCCAGCCATTCCTGAGTCTGACACTTCCTCCGAGTGAGTGATGAGGGACACACATTTGGGCAAAATCCCAGCACCTCGCTTCATTCACCTCGGCCTGCTGTCACGCCTCAGTCGCACAGACGCTCGGCGGGAAAAGCGTACGACAAAGACAGGGCAGTGGCACGCAGTTTCATTTTGCATCTTAGGAGTGTGTGAGTGGGTGTAAAAATAATCCTATCAACATTTTCACTCAACTACTTCACACCGCTCGTTGCATGTGTGACTTGTTGTGTGAATAAAGGAGGGAAGCCAACCTGCGAGAAGAGGCGAAGGAAAAGTGGGCAGGTCCGCTTGGCGAGAAGTTGCGCGGGCTGTCCAACGGACTGCTTCCTATTAAAATACATATGGACAGAACACAACAGAAAACATACACTGTGGGTTACTGGGAAGGATAGTATACCTACATTCATTTTAGGTGACAGGTAACTACACTCCACGAGTTATTACCATTTCATTTAATCAGCCTCACTTTTAAGGAAATGCTGGAGACTTGTACATTAAGTCATTAACAGAGACACTTAAAACAGTGTTATGGTTCAAATAAAAACAAGAACTCTGCTTCCAAGAAACCTACAGTAATATCCTTGATCCTGTCCCGCAGTACTGAATAATTAAAGATTCAGTTAAAGAGCAACTTAACACCAGCTGAAAATCTTGTTCTTGTTGACCTCTAGGGCAATGGGGCCTTTTCATTCCACGGCACCTCTCCATAGTGATTTTAATTTTTTTTAATGGCACCCCAGGGTTGGTTGTCTCTGACTGTGCTGGGGGCTAAGATGAGTCAGCATTTGTTAGAGCTCTCTTTACAGTGACAAATCTTTCCATTGCTTGGTGCTTGATTTTTCTCATTGTTGTGCACCTTGAAAACTTACATGCCGGAAAGCATACTGGGTGACAAATGGCTGACTGCAAGGTTTAATTTCATCAGCTGCGGCATATTTAATGAAGTTCTGAACACAGTGATTCAGATGTTTGCTGCTTGTTCTTTCAGTTTTTATATGAAGTTTGAAAACATAATATAAAAATGTGATTAAAGTAGATGTTGCATCATCTGTCAATCTGGTCAAACATTATTGAATGTTCAATAAAAACATAAATGAAATTAAATTCTTGTGAAAGTCTTGGGCCCATACATAAGGCTCTCCACTGTGGGAATCATCATCAGTGGTCTAAATTCTTCCCTTTCATTCAGCATAAGACTTACATTTATTTTCAGTGGATGTCAAGTTGATCTTTAAAGCTAATTGTTTTTTTCCTAATTTCTTTCTGTCAAAATTTCCACCAAGCCGCCCCACTCCCCCAATCAGAGTGATTGCAACTGATTACATACAGTGGCACAGTCCCACTGAGTGAGTAAAAATAATTTGTTACAGAGTGGTTATGCTACAAATGCTATTTTTAAAGTCTGCTTTCTCTATTATTGTAAACATATTATTTAACTTATTCAATAAAATCAATAAAAAAAGAAAAAAGATATATATTGAGTCCAATATACTGTTTAATCACGCTCTATAATAACTTTTATATACTGACCTATGTGTCCAGGCAGTGGAGAGTGCGGCCGTGGCAGGGTAGGGGATGTACTGGTCAGGATGAGGCTTTTCCGGTTACTGGTTCTGCAACTAGAACATATATGGGAAGAGAGAGCACGTCAATATTTGTCTTCATTATATTTAAGGCTCCATCAATACCAGATGGGTGATAGCTGTCACACACATAACTGAGTGACCCCAAGGTTAATGAATATACCTCGTCTTTGTTTGGCATTGAGTCTGTGTGCTAACCTGTCACCCTGAGTAAATGTATAGACTACAGTACAATATGTGTGTATGCTTTTTTATCTTGAGTACGGTATGTTTTCCGCGTGTGTGCATGAGGCCATAATGCTCAAAGACT